AAAGAAAGGGGGTATTATGTGGTCTATCTATTGTATTGTGTGGTGTGTGTGTATTTGGGGGGGGGGGGTTTGCAGAAGAGGGATGGGGGAGGGTGATTGCGCATAGGGGGAAGAAGGGTGAGGGTCTGTTGGGTTTCTGGGTCTCTGCGCAGAAGAGGGATAGGGGGAATACCTGGCAGTGGCTGCAGCGAACTCGGTGGCTGTGGCTATAGAGGTGGCTGTGCCTGCAACGAACTTGGTGGTTTTAGCTTTGATGGTGGTAACAACATAGTTATCAAAATTGTACGATTTCTAATTCGATTTGATACAGGTACAAAACGATTCGTCTCTTATATGAGAATCGTTTTAGAGTTGAATCGTACGATTTAATTAGTATCTCACGATTCAATTACTTTTTTTAAAACCCAAATTTTTGACAAAACGACGTCGTTTTGTCGCATAAACAGTAAAACGACTTCGTTTTGTTTGCAGAGGAACCCATGCCCTAATAAAAATTCAATCCCTTTGCTCGTTCTCTTTTTGACATCGTCTAAAGCTCGTATTGCATTGGTTAAAGTTAAAGGTCATGGCTAACGCTCTCGCATCATTGGTTGATTTTTACTCTTAATTCTTTCATGGGTAGTTTGTTAGGTAAAATGTTGGCCCACGTGTTTTCTCCCAATCAATTTTCTTATTTATTCTTTTTCCATTCATGTTTGTAACCTAATCTATACTGGATGTCACTATTTTGCTTCTTGAATAGCCATAGTTGTTTAATAATTTTTTTTTTCAAGTTTTGAATTTGCAAATGATTAAGCAAAAGGTGAAAATAAAGCAAAAGATTAGTGTCTTTCTATTTAGACAACGTGATTATGTTAATTGATTATTTTTAGAATGCAATAATGTTCAATATTTAATATCTTATCTATTTTAAATTTGTAGTATTATTTTTAATTTTTATTCAAATTTTGTATCGAATCTTACGATTCACGATTCTCAAATTTAGAATTTCGATTCACGATATTTGACAACTATGGGTAACAGAGACAGACAGAGAGATGTTTGAAGTGAAGAGGAAGCTAAAAGAAAAAATCGAAGGCATGGATTTGAGGAAGTGGCCATGCCTGTCTCGTCGATTGTCTGTTTGACTGGTAATAATACTGGTGGTAGTGTGTGATAAGTTTGGGGGAGAAATATATAGGGTATAAAATTCAAAGTATGAGGTGTTTTATTATATAGATATGTGTGTGTTTGTGGTACAACATTTATATTTTAAATAGTAATTTATTTTAATTTTTTTAATTATCTAATTTAAAATTAAAGTGATAAGAAAAAAAAATATCAATCTCGGCTGTTTTTATAAATTAAGAATTTAATTTTTTAGCTGTAATATTATAGATATAATATGTGTGTGTGTGCGCGTTACTTCTTGTTTGATCTGTGTAATTAATGCTTCTTGATTGCATGATAGAGAATAGTTGGGTCATTGGGTGCCTATGCTATTCGAATAGATTGCTTTTGAGATTGATTAGGCATGATTTAAATTTCCTTCTCCTTCTCCTACGCTTCTTGTACTCTATAACTTTTCTCATTTGTGCTCTGTGATTGTGGAGATATTTATTTGAAACAACCAGTGTCTGACTCCTTGTTTTATATTCGATAGAAAATTGAAGTGAAGGAATTGTTCTTGTAGAATATATGCCTCTGTTTGAACTTAAAAAAGTTCTTTTATAAAGTATAAGGGAAGGAAAAAGTTTTAGGGTGCTTTATTTTGTTTTTGCCTTTTTGTAGGGATGATTGCACCCACTATGCACCTTTTCGACTCGTGAGGTCGACCTCAACCATGCACAGAGAGTCGAACACCTATACCTGGATTGGAACACCCTTGATAGCCATGTCACGGGAGAGCAATCTCACCGCAAGGGCCGTGAAATTGGAATTAGAGCTTGAGTTACGAGGCACTCAAGAATAATAATGCTATGACAAATGTGTTATTACCTATTCTGGGAAAACCACCTATCAAAGTGATCGATAGCCTTTGGTCATTAAAGCATAGCCTAACTTGGGGGGTTGGGTTATAAGGATCATTACGTTGTTTCAAGCATTTAGACTCATTATTCTGAATCACAAGAGTTCTATACTATTGTTTATGATGCAATCTAACCTCCAAGAGTTAGTCATAAGGAATTCTAGGTGAGATTCTTAGGTCCATATTTTCTATTTCTAGAGTTATATCTGACATTTCGTCATTTGTGAGAACACTTGACCTTAGGTGAGTGCTAAGGAATTTTGTATAAGATTGCTAAATAATTATTTTTTTTCTAATGTCTGTTCAAGTGTTCAAGGTTAGGGAAAAACTCCTATTTCGTCCAGAAAACTTAAATGCTCTCCAGTATTACCAACCACCCAATCTCTAGATTTCCTTCACTAGCTTATTATAATCTTGTCCATAAAGTTTTCTGATGTTGCCATATGTTTTCTGGTACCAGTGCGAGAGAACCAATTATTTTCTTCCCCGCCAATCTTTGAATGGAACTATTTCTTTCAAAATGGAAGTAAACACTATATCAAGTTTGAGGTGTGGGGCTGCAGCTCACAATTATGAGGTTTCCTTGAAGACATATTTCGAGATTTACAAATATATTGACTAATGATGTACAAAATAGGTTATGCATAATCAAATCAGTCGAGTGTATGACACAAGGTAATTGATGGAATAATTAACAATAAGAGACAAAGATTTGGTAGTTAGGTCGAGGTGACCTAACCACTGAAGGCGGCGACGGTGGCCTAAAAATTTTATTAATGAGAGAATCAAATAATAGGTGAGAGAGAGAGAGCAAGAGTCAGCTCAAGATGTGGTGTGTTTGAGATATCGCCCTGTTCCGCATGTATAGAGGGCTTATAATTTATAGGCACAAAGCCCCAGTTGATGCGGTGGCGTGAAGATGAGGCTACTAGCTTTTTCGGAAGAAAAGGTGCAATTAAAGATAGGTACAATTAAGGATAGCTGTTATCTTCTAGTAATGGCTATCCCAATGTTTACTCTCCACGTGCGTTGCTCCAGGGTCTTCTTGAACTTCGGACTGGGTTAAGGCTATTAACTGAGCTTGACCATCTTTTTTAACTAATTGGACTTAACCCACTAATTAGGCCTGGGCCCAGCTAGATCTGGGCTCGTCGCTGACTTCTATAAGCGTATATAAGAATCCCGAGGATTAAACCCTTTTAGTTCTTCTCCTACTCCAATATCAAAATATCGTTTCGAAACAGTCGAAACATCCAAAACGTTTTCGTTTCCAAGGAGACCGAAACGAGTTAATGATGAATTCGAAATTCTAATACTTCAAGGTGTTCCATAATGTTTTAAAATGTTTTGTTATATTTCAATGTATTTGCACAATTATTTCGGACTGTTTTAAGGTATTTCAAGATATTTTAGTATATTTCGACCAATGTTTTAAAAAAATAATTCTTAAATTTTTTATTTGTTTTATTAGGTTTTCAAAACAGGTCGAAACGTTTTCAAAACGTCAAAACGTTTCCGTTTTTGTTTCCATTTCCATTTCCATTCCGTTGTGACCAAAATAATGTACTGAAACAAAATTTTGATCCTTACTCCTGCGTCAAAGATTGGATGTCTTATTCTTTTGAAGCTAACCATCAAAAAAACAAGAAACTGTAGGTGTGGGAGAAAGAGAAGAATGATCTTTGTGGCAATATTTGGTGAAACTACAAAGTGAAATTTGATCATAAACCTAAACATAAGGAAGAGATGGGGAAAGCAACCGATCTATTGTACCTAGCCAAGCTAAATATATCATTGACATCCATAGTGTCTCAGCCAAGCTAAATATATCATTGTAACTAGCCAAGCTAAATGTATCATTGTACCTAGCCAAGCAACCGATTAGTTGTCCCTAGCCAAGCTAAATATATCATTTGTTCATTCTAGATAAATTGAAGGTGCAGTTCCATGGTAATAGCTTGTGGCATCTACATTTATACTGAAAGATATATCATATTGAATCAACCCCGATACTTTATGTTCCCAAGATGCAAAATTATATCTGACTTAAAAAAAAAATTAGATTTCGTGGCTTGTAACGCTTTATTGCCAACACCGTAGGATGAGCTTTCTATAAAAAGTGGGGAGAATGATGTGAGTGCAAAAGCAAAAGGGTGCAAATTGGTAGTCTAAGACAGAGCATGTTCTAGAAATTGTGCATTTGGATTGAATAAAATGTCAGGTTAAGGCTACATAGGTGTAATTTTTTTATGATCTTCTATGTCATAGCAATGAGGGTTCTTAATTGGTTTGTGGAAATGTTGGTCTGCTGGTTTTATTTTGGGCCAAGTTATCATAAGGTTTCTTTGTATCTTGTCTTCATTAGATCTAGCTAGAATGTCCTAAATAGTCCAATGTCCAAGTTTGTGTAATCTAAAAGTGCTAGTAAAACTAGGAGAATCAGGGAGCTAATTATATATTTCTATGTCTACAAGCTCTCTATTGAATCAAATTAACCTTGAGAAGTTGAGACTATGTTCTTGGTGGTTGAGTCGTGAGGAGTTTTGGAAATTCTGGTTGCCAACCATCAATCAGACTCCCAAATTGCTTTTTCTATTTTTTTTTGGTCAAATCTACCTTCTAGTCCTTATTTTAGCATTAGAATCAAGATACTTTGCTCGCTGGAATATCAGTAATCAACCTGCGAAATTCCCAATACAACGATTTTTAACCAAGTAAATTCCAAACCTGGCCCTTTCAATGCATATAACCTTTCTCTGACCTCTTAGAAGCACTCTTATGAAAGCTTTACACAATCAAGAATTCCATGAAACTTATTCCAGGTGGTGCTATTACTTGTACTGCTGTCTTATGTCTAACTGGATGAAATGTTCAGTAAGCTTGTTTGGATTATTTAATCCATGGGAAAATACAAACTTTGATCATTTCCACTTGATCAGCTGTTGCTGCACTTGCTTTATGCCTTCTGTTGGTTGGCTTCTGTGGTTCACAGGAATGTGCTCTGCTAGAATCTATGAACTTCTGCAATCAGAAGTTCGACAGTTGATTTGATGCCAATTTCTGTTCAAAGGCGACATGGATGTAATGCAGAGAATTTTTGTATACATAGCAGAGTTTTTCTCTTCAAAAATTGAACTCGTCGCACCCAATTTCTAGCATAATTAATCAAGTGAGGGCTGAACTAATGAGACATGTTGGTTATGCAGGTTGGATATTCATCACCTGCTCAGTCTGGAATCATAGATGACTTTGGAATCTCTTTGGCAGAGGTAAGGGTTAAACTTCTATACTGTTATTATAATCTAAACACCTTTTTAGAGATGGGATTATTTTAGATGTTTGAGGCCGTGCACTGTGCTGTGCCATAATGTTGACATAATGAATGCTTGACACTGGAGAACATTGGTTATGACTTGTCATGATTGTCTGAGAAATGCTATAACATCAATGGCATAGTTAGTGATCATACTTTAGATATAAAGCAAACAGAAAGGATTATCATTATTTGATTGATCAAGACGTGTCCCAAAATGTGAGTTAATACAGGCTGCACACAGCTTTATAACAAAACAAAGGGTGAAAACTCAATTCTGTTCTGCAGCAATTACACCTTTGTGAGGGCAACTGCATTCTCACAAACATTGTTTAGAAGAAGAAGAAGAAAAAAAATCATTTAGATATCATTTTTCTTACTGCTTTTGTGGGTAGTTCACTGGAGTTGTGCATGAATTTTTTCTTTTGTGAATAGTTACTCTCATCTTAAATTAAGTTTTATTTTTGACCAGCAGTTTTGTTTCGATGTTGATAGTACTTTGGTTTTCAGTAGTAGGTATTATGTCGAACATATAAGTTTTCAAAGATTAGCTGACCCCAAATAATTCAAACAAGGCTTATTGAATCGAGTTGAGTATATTTGTTTTCAAATAGAAAGACCAGTCACTAATTTTTGGGCCTGAACAAGGGAATAAAACAATCTTCCCATCCATTAGTGTTTGTCCAATGTTTTAATTTGATGTACATACTTGTCCATGTCCAAGTGAGCTTGTCGCATCATTATTGCTTCTTTGTTGTCCAAAAATGTTAACCAAGGACTCATGGTATGTCTTTCCATCCACTGAAAGGTCAACTGAAAATCATAGAGACAAAAACTGCACTGGGCAAAATGGAATACTATAAGCCAAACAAAATATTGCTGCCGTTGAATAGTTTGGGCATAATAGACCTCCCCCCGAATCAAAAAGAAAATGAAAACATAGAAGAGAGCAGAGGTATTTGATTGTTTGGGGGAGGAAAGGATTTCACAAAATTTCATAATGGAATCAAGTAGTGGACAGTTGCCCATAAGAACCCTGTTGCAATCCGAAAACCTTACCTTATTACCAACTATTATGAACTTTGATGTCCTTTTTTTATGGACAGCGACAGATGGCCAGATCAGATAGATAATACTCTTTTGGCTACTTTTATACTTGACTAAATTTGTATTCTTATTAGTCTAAAGGAAATGGAAGCTCTAAACCATTTTTTTTTTTTTGTGATCCAAACACAGTTACAAACTCCGAAACCTTTGGAGCCTACCAACTAAAATAACTAGCACACCTAGCCTCTCAACATTCGTGCAGTTATCATTTGTTAACACCCAAGCTTTCCAATCTGAATAATCCAGAGGAATGTGATCTGGAATATAGGTTTCTCCATCAACTTAATACATGCCAATCTTCTACTGAACATTTTTCGCTAAACCCAACTAATGAGCTGGATAAAGATTTAGCACTGCAAAAAGAAAAAACCATGTTGGACTGCCCTATTGCACATAAACTAACACAAAAGTCATCTGATGTATGTTGAAGAAAATCATTTTGCACTTCATTTGAACTATCACTTTTATTAGCGGTTGATGAGGAGATGGGATTTTTTTTGGGAAGTTTTCATTGTGATTTAACATGAGTTTTCTGCATTTGAAATATATATGACCGAATATATTTTAGGTATCTTAATAGAGTAGATGGTGCAATATAACGCTTCATGAAACATAGAATCCATTATTATAATATTTTATCCACTTCTCTTTTTCTAGACAAGCAATTCTCTAGTTAATTTTCTTTCCTCCCCCTATTCTCTTTGTTGGCATTATTTTACAGTATGCAGTTTTTGGATCAATATTGACAATTGGAGCAATGGTTGGTGCTGTAATGAGTGGAAAGATAGCAGATCTCATTGGACGGAGGGGTGTAAGTTTTTCTAATGTTCTTTGGATATCTACATGCTTGACACAAAATAAAACAATTTCCCAATTCTTCAATTGATCTTGTTAAATTGAGAGGATCAATGTAACACAATATTAGAGAGAAAGAGAGAGGTTAAAAATTTAACTTAGCTCTCATACATCATTTATATTTATAGTTAACATACAATAGTAAGAATTACACATACACCTTCTTACTATTAACAATTTACACATATTACCCTATTATTCTTAATACTCCCCTTCAAGCTGGACTATATATATCATATAATCCAAGCTTAGAACAAATATCTGTAAGACGTGTATGATTCAATGTTTTGGTAAACATATCTACAAGCTGATCTTCAGATTTCACAAATGGAGTTGTAATCTCCCCAGGTACTATCTTGTCCCGAATAAAGTGACAATCAACCTCAATATGCTTGATTCTCTCGTGAAACACAGGATTGACAGTGATATGAATAGCTGTCTGCTTGTCACAGAACAACTGTAAAAGAAGTTGAATTGGAAACCTAATTTCCTGGAGGAAGTGTAGTAGTCAAATCAACTCACTCGTCGTATGCGCCATTGCTCAGCCTCAGCACTGGATCTTACTTCCACGGATTGTTTCTTGCTTTTTCATAAGACAACATTACTTCCTAAGAAAGTACAATAACCAATGATTGATCTCTGATCAGAAGGAGAGCTAGCCCAATCAGCATCTGAGAAACCTTCCACTCTAAGATATTCATTAGCTCGATATAACAGTCCAAGTCCAGGAGCACGTTTGAGATATCGCAGAATACGAGTAATTGCATCCCAATGTGGTACTCTAGGACACCCCATGAACTAACTTACTATACTAATTGCATAGAAAATATCTGGTCGGGTAATAGTTAGATAATTGAGCTTCCCAACTAATCTGCGATACTGACCTGGATTCTCAAATAGTGCACCATCATCTATCAAAAGTTTCTAATTCGGATTTATAGGACCATCAATAGGTCTGCCACCGAGCAAACCTGCTTCCTCAAGCATGTCAAGTACATATTTCCTCTGGAATAAACAAATATCCTGTTTAGATCGAGCCACCTCAATACCCAAGAAATACCTAAGTTTACCTAAGTTTTTCCAAATCCTTAGTGTGAAATAGATCTTGTAAGAATGTTTTTAACTTGACAATCCCTTCAGAATCATTTCCAGTAATCACAATATCATTTATATAGACCACTATCTGTTTGTCTATGAAACACAGAATGGTCTGTCTGACATTGAAGAAGACCAAATTCTAAAATTGCATCTGAAAACTTACCAGACCATGCCCTCGATGATTGCTTCAAACCATACAAAGATTCTTTAACCGACATACACTCTTACCATACTCCCCCTGAGCAGTAAACCTAGGTAGCTGTTCCATATATACCTCTTCAACTAAGTCACCATATAAGAAGACATTCTTGACGTCTAACTGAAACAAGGGCCAATCAAGATTAGCAGCCAAAGAAATCAAGATACGAACAGAGGAAATTTTGGCAACTGGAGAAAAAGTTTTCTCATAATCAACACCATAAGTTTGAGTAAAGCCCTTTACAACAAGCCGGGCTTTAAGACGCTCCATAGAACCATTTTGATGAAATTTAATTGTATACACCCAACAACAGCCAATAGTTCGTTTACCAAGAGGTAAAGTAACGAGATCTCAAGTCCTATTATGATGTAAGGCATCCATCTCCTCCTCTATAGCTTTCCTCCAACTCGGATCAGATAATGCATCCTGTACATGCTTAGGAATAGATATAACAGATAATTAGGAAGTAAAACAAGAGAAGACAGGAGACAAGACATCATATGAAACAAAATGAGAAGTGGAATGATTAATAACACACGAACGAGTACCTTTGTGAAGAGCAATAGGTAAATAGTCTAAATTACTTGATGTACCAGGATCAGAAGGCGGCACGGAAGATGGTACGGGCACCTCAGTCGATGGGCGAAGACGGCGAGAGTAGACACGGAGAGGTAAAGTAAATGGTAACATAGTGGGTAGCGGGACATCTAAAGATGAGGAAAGAGATGGTGGTACAAGAGATGACCCAAAGTCCAGATCCAAAGGCTGAGAAGGTGCTAGAAAATATGGAACAGATTCTTCAAATGTGACATCGGCACTAGTAAAGTATCGGTGCAGAGAAGGACTGTAGCAACGATACCCCTTCTGCGTGCGGGAGTAACCAAGAAATACACATTTGGTAGTTCAAGGGTCAAGTTTGTCAAATCTAGAACCCAAATTATGAACATAACAAACACATCTAAAAACCTTAGGAGTCAGAGAAAATAAGAGTTTACCAAGAAAAATTACAGAATATGGACTTTGCCTATTTAACATAGAGGATGACATACAATTAATAAGGTGACAAGCAATAAGAACAATATTACTCTAAAAATATCGGGGAATATTCATTTGGAATAATAAGGCACGGTTGACTTCCAACAAATGACGGCTCTTGCGTTCAGCAACACCGTTCTGTGGAGATGTGTAAGCACAGGAAGTCTGATGAATAATGTCAGCTTTATTAAGATAAGCTGAAAAAGGATCAGATTTATATTCCCGAACATTATTAGAAAGTAAAATATGGATATGACAATCATACTGAGTTTTTATTTCCTTACGAAAGGTCTCAAATATAGAGAATAATTCAGACCGAGCTGTCATCAGAAACAACCAAGTCACACGAGATAGTCATCCACAAATAACACAACATAAGAATATTTATTAGATGAAATATTTTTTATTGGACCCCATACATCAGAATGTACCAACTCAAATGGACTAGACACACGATTATTGACTCGAGACTGAAATGACACACGGTGATGCTTACTAAGTTGACACGTTTCACAAGACAAAGACGGCATAGGACTAAGACTGGGAACTTGACGTTTCAGATTCTGGAGATTGGGATGTCCAAGACGACAATGCCACTAAAAAGGAGACAACGAGGTCTGTAGAGCCCGAGTAGGTGAATCAAAATCAAAGTAATATAGGCCACCAGCTTCATGTACCGTACCAATCTTCCTCTTCGTCTTAGGATCCTGAAAGACACAATAAGAAGGATAAAAGGTTACAGAACAATTAAGAGAATGAGTAATCTTGCTAATGGAAAGTAAACTAAAAGGAAACTGAGGAACAAATAATACGTAAGATAGGGACATATCAGGACTCAAGTTAGTAGTCCCCAAACTTAAAACTTTAGAACAAGTGTCATTAGCAAGAGTAACACTACGTGTGGAAGGAGCAGACTGATAAGTAGAAAAAATATCGAACACACTAGTCATGTGATCAGAAGCGCCAGAGTCTATGATCCAGGGATTGCGATTGAAGGAGAATAAATAAATGGAAGCAATACCTGACTAGGCAAAAGTAGCAATGAAGGAAGATGGAACAACCTGTTGTTGAGATAGGAACTGGGCATACTCCTTTTGAGTAATAGTAACCAATCTAGTGTCTTGTTTGGGTTCCATAACAGTGTAGCAAATAGCAAACAAGAAGTGATACAATGTCGAACCAGAAGAAAAGAGGATGCTGGACCGTTGAACCGGGCCTGTTAAGACTGTTGGAATACTGAACCAGTCTGGAAAATCAGCCTGAACCACTTAACCGGGCCTATTAAGGCTGCTGGAGCCCTAAATCGGACTGGAAAATCGACCTGGACCACTTAACCGGCCTTGCTAAGGCCACTGGAAGCCTGAACCGGACTGGTTTAGTCCTCTGGATCACTGAACTGGCCTTGCTTATGCTACTGGAAGCCTGAACCGGATTGGTTTAGCCCTTTGGACTGCTGAACCGGAGTAAAACCAGTCTGAACCGGACTGGTTTAGCCCTCTGGACTGCTGAACCGGAGTAAAATCGGTTTGGAGCTAAATCGGACTGGTTGGACCGAAGTGGGCTAGACCGGATCGGATTTGGCTGGGCTAAACCAATTTAAATCTGTTAGAGCTAAACCGGGTCAGGACCTTTTTTCGGGTCTGGACCCTTTCTTCTTCGTCGAATAGGGTTACTGTAACCCTAGTCTTCGACTGTGCAACCACGATCAACCACGATCACTACACCCACTACGCCACCACAGATGAGCAACCTCTTCAACCAAAGACCACAACAAGTCGACTACCACCACCATCGGACACGACCACGATGGACAGCACAACAAACACCAGTCGACAACCAACGAACAGTCGACTGCCACCAAGAACCAGAACAGTTGGCAATACCAAGAACCAGAAGCCAAACCAGTCGACTGCCACCAACGTCGACTAGCACAACAACCCAGAATTAATATTTGTATTATTTGTGCTCTGATACCATGTTAAATTAAGATGATCAATGTAACACAATATTAGAGAGAAAGAGAGAGGTTAAAAACTTAACCTAGCTCTCATACATCACTTATATTTATAGTTAACATACAATAATAAGAATTACACATACACCCTTTTACAATTAACAATTTACACATATTACCTTACTATTCTTAACAGATCTCATATGATCTAATATCTGCAGACAATGGGATTCTCGGATATTTTCTGTCTCATTGGGTGGCTTGCAATTGTATTTGCAAAGGTTTCTTTCTTTCTCTTACCTTCTTCCCTCAATTTTTTATTTTTGTTCATTTATAGTCCACTTAATTGTGGAGGAACTGAATTCATGCTTGACATTTCATGCCCTTTTATGAATCAAAAAGCGACCTATGAATTCGTGCTCTATGCTCACTAGCCTTTTTTGTAACGAAAATTTCTGAAACAAGGGATTAAAACCCTTCTCCTACTGTAGCAGCATTACAGGTTTTTGTTGTTGTCGTTGTTCTAGTGCTAATATTGCTGCTACAGAAATATGCATCTGTTTTCAGATTTTGGAAATATAATTGACTTAACGGCTGACAACAGGGTTCTTGGTGGCTCAACCTTGGAAGATTGTCTATAGGATATGGAATTGGGCTTCTTTCATATGTGGTAATTGCAGTATGTTTTGCATTTCATATCAGACTGGCTTATGTGTATGACAGGTTGAGAATTTTGCATTCCAAAAATCAAACAGGTACCCGTATACATAGCAGAAATTACACCTAAGGATCTTCGAGGAGCATTTGCAGCAACAAATCAGGTAAAGCAGGACTATATTAGTTCAGAGTGAAACTTAGAGTGGTAATAATGCAGCTACATGCTCCTGATCTGCAGTTGATGATATGTTGTGGCGTATCCGTAATGTATCTCATAGGAACTGTCATCTCGTGGCGCACCTTGGCTCTAATAGGTAAATTTTTGGTTCTTGTTCTGTATTACTGACTTACTGTTACTGAATTATTTAGACATTTCAATAAGAATTGTTTTCCTACTGATTAGGGACTATTCCATGTATACTACAGCTTCTGGGTCTATTTATCATCCCAGAGTCTCCGAGGTGGCTGGTGAGTCCAAATCAAATACAGTTTCCAGTTGTTCAAGTGGTGTTTTGATTATGCTTAAAATAAATGGGTTCTTTGCTTCTCTTTTTTGTGGCTTCCAACCAATGGGCTTTTGGTCTAATGGTATTCTTTACCTTGTGAAGGCTTTGCCTTCTTGAGGTTAAGGGTTCAAGCCCCCTTTCCTCCTCCCCCCTCTCCCTCATAAAAAAAAAAAAAAACTTTATTGTGGCTTCCACACGACACTTTCAACTTTTGAGTTATAAATTTCACAGCCAACTTTTCCATGGCTAAATGCTAATTTCCCTAACAGAGTATGGCCCACACAAGGCCAGCAGCTGTTGAAAAGCTGAATAGTTGTTAACTAACTATCTACAGGCAAAGAAGACTCGGGGTAAAGATTGTGAAGCTGCTCTACAGCGCCTTAGGGGGAATAATGCCAATATCTCTGAAGAAGCAGCAGAAATTAGGGTGACTGTTTGACTTTGTTGATTCAATAAGGAGTAACTGTTTCTTGTAGTCAGTTCTAGTTAGAGTTTATATATTGGTTCATTGAATTAATTTTCTTTCTCCAAGTCCTCAGGATTCTCTTTATTCACAGGATTATATAGAAACCCTTCAACGGCTATCAGACTCTAGAATGCTTGAATTGTTCAATCGGAAGTACACTCACTCACTCATTGTGAGCCGTCTGGCCCTATTCAATCTTGAAGCATGTTTCCAATGTTCACTTATTGAATTATTATATGGGTAGTTTAAAATTTGGTTCAGGTTGGAGTTGGACTTATGGTTTTGCAACAGTTTGGAGGAGTCAATGCAATTGCCTATTATGCAAGTGCTATTTTTGTGTCTGCTGGTAAGTAAACCTACTTTAGTAAAGTTCTACAATTGATGGTAACCGAAAAAAAGAGAGTTAATTGGTATGAATCTCTTGCTTATAACAGGGTTTTCGAGTGGGATTGGTAGTATAGCAATGGTTTTTGTTCAGGTTTTTAACTTCCCTTTTGTTGATTTTGTTTTTCAGATGTTGCACTGTCTATTGCTAAGACATCTATGGGTTTTCTGCAGGTTCCAGTGACATTGCTGGGTGTACTCTTAATGGACAAAACTGGACGAAGACCGCTCCTTATGGTACAAAGGGCAAGATATCTTTTCGGAATGTGCAATATAGTTTCATTTAAACTCACATTGAAGTCTTCTACTGTTGCAGGTTTCTGCAGCTGGAACCTGCTTGGGTTGCTTCCTTATAGGATTGTCATTCTTATTACAGGTATCTGCTTATGTACATTTATTGCTCTCATGAATTTGTGTTCGTCTGTTCTAATTAATTCCTAAAGAATCAAATTCTGCCAAGAGCAGGATCTTCAGCTGTGGAAGGATTTCAGTCCCGTTCTGGCGCTTGGTGGTGTATTGGTAATTCAATTTGACCAACTGGGAATCCTTTCCCTTTCTTTATAAAGTGGCATTAGAAACTGTTAACTGGAGTTTTGAGATTTCTGTCTTGGACATTTTTTAATTTCTTCATGGCCTCTTAATCAAACAAAAGTGCATGGATCTTGGGTCTTGGTCTTGTTAGCCATTATAGTTAGGTATGGCTACTGCACCGGAAAAAAAATTTCAGTACCATATTGAAAAATAATTTATGGTTATAAATCTTTGATTGATCACGAAAAAAAATAAACTAAAGTTAAATAATAAAATAAGAGAATTTTACATTTATCACATTCTCGTTGATAAAAAAAAAGGAGGTATGGTATTGAAAAACAACTTTTCGATGCCATAGTTGGACCCAAGTAATTAACAGTTCACAACTTTGGTGCGGTGTGATCTTTATTGTAGTCATACAGTCCTTGCTTATGGCTATAGGACTAAGAAGATGAACTACAACTATTAATTGATGGGACGTTGTAATTAGTTTCATTCTCCTACAAGCAATAATAGCTGCTCTGGAACAACTAGTACTACTGGATATTTTGATAGAAGAATACACCACTTGCTTCTATCCTTTAAATTTAGCAAAAGTTTGTATGGGTCAATGGATATAATCGACCTTGAAATTTATGTTTTTGATACTGCAAGCAGGTGTTTACAGGATCTTTCTCATTAGGCATGGGAGGAGTCCCGTGGGTTATAATGGCGGAGGTAGGTGCCGAGTTGGGCTTCATATTATATGACCTATTTACAAGTTGTTCTAAATGTAACCGAGATATTTGTATTTTAGTATATATGATGGTTTTGTTTCAGATATTTCCTATGAATGTGAAAGGTGTAGCTGGAAGCCTGGTGACAGTAGTTAACTGGTTTGGTTCTTGGATTATTTCATATACTTTTAACTTCTTAATGGAATGGAGCTCTGAAGGTAATGAATCTCTCTCTCTCTCTCTCTCTCTCTCTCAAGTATTGTATAGGAACTTACCAAAGCCATGTTTTCTTTCAGGAATCTTTTTCATATTTTCAATCATATGTGCCTTAACCATCCTGTTCGTTGCAAAGCTGGTTCCAGAGACTAAGGGGCGCACATTAGAAGAAATACAAGCATCTATGAATTCATTCAGAGCGAAATGAGTATCTTAGCCTCCTTGTATAACACTAGCAGTCCATGATGTATATTTGGCCAGACCTGATTCAAGCGCAGAGCTTTACATTGTAGCTTAAATTTTTTTTTTGGCGGCACAAGGGTATTATGGTTGCAGAATTGTGGTAATGACAATTTCATTTGGTTTTGGTATTTTAATTATTTTGTTCTCACAAACTTGGATCACCCAGGCATGTGACGTATGTTACCTTGACCAGCACAAGCATGTAATGTAACTACTGCAACACAGCAGGATGTAAGTAAGCCAAACCCACAAAGCATAGCTCATGCATTGCTAAAAGCTCAATTAACGTACATAAATCACCGTTTGATGCATACATAGCTAAATCATCATTATTTCATGTAAAACAATAGTAGTTATGTAAAAGAAAGTTCAAAAGTACATATACTTTGTCACACCAAAGAGCAATCAACCTAATAGACTATTCAGGGTCTATACGAACATACGATTCAACCTGTTAGGAACTTGCATCCCAAAGAAGATACCCTCCCTAATCATAACTCAAAGTCTGAAGACCAATTAGGCCACACTAGCATTTATGAACTCAATGAAACCCTAAATCCTTTGCCTAGATCTTGTCTGTACTTATATTTTATTCAAAAGGATCGTGGAGTTTTGTTTCATACGATTAATATGAACAATCGTGCTCAACGCGCACCAAAACCCTAACCGGGTTTGAGTTCTGAGCCAATTCAAAATCACTCAATCAATAGTTCAAAAACATGTTAGACATCATATATAACATATTAAATAAGTTTGAAAGAAGTTCAAAATATCTAGTTCGTTCTGGAATTGAAAAACACTATCTTGCGTGGTATTTTGATCTAAAACTACCAAAAATAAAATTTTTTCAATGGAATTTCATACACATACTCAATTTAACTATTTAAAAGTGAATAAATTTTTTTTAACCCAAAAGTAGGCCAAATCGACGCTAGAGGGCAAAACATACATTTTACACCTTGAATTGATGGAGTATCGGATCGTGACGTAATTTTATAGGGACCTCTGTATAGATTTTAGAAAACTTTTGGGATCAACCAGAGGTCTAGGGGATCTACCACACACCCACACAAGCTGATGGGGTGGGCAATGGTCCCCCCCTCTCCTCCTACTCCTCTTCTTATTACCTTGGTCGTTGACCATGTTGCCCTACTCCTTTGTAAGTAGTCCAACACCCCTACTTCATCCCCTTGTTTCTCTCTCTACATTCACTCTATTTCCCCATTTCAAAGTCAAAACACTCACCACATGGCCTAATTTTAAGACCCACAAACCACACCCTTCAACTCTCCTTCTACCTCTACCAATTCAATGTCAACGTTGATCAAAAACTTGTTTTCCAAAATCAAACCAAACTTGCAACTGAGCTTTTAACCTTGAATTGACCTCTAAACTTTAATTCAAAGACAAAAATGAACTCCTTGGGTCCAAATTAGTTAGGAACATGACCCATTTCGAAACTTAAACAAGAATTTAAGAGAATCAAATTTCAAGTTTATCTTCAAACCCTAGTTTCTTATTCTACGTCCATGGACCACGGCCAACCTCCTAGTCACTTCCAAACGTTCCTAAATCCACCAAATAACATGGCTACAAAGTTTAATTAAAATGAAAAGCAAGCTATGTATGAAACTCAGTTAAGAAATCCAAATCTACCGCATGCTTTAAACACAAATCCAAAACATCATACCATACCAAATCAAAATCAAAGCTTATCGACGAATTCAGATGACCAAAATGAAGAGTTTGACATAGCTCTAGTTATTCGAATCTCCTTGTAACAAAAACCCAAAAAATTTTCTCTAACCTCTCTCATCTCTTTCTCCTCCATTCTTATCCTCTCCCTATTATACCCCTATCCACAAATATCAGCAAAAACTTGCAAGCTGGAGGCTTGCATGAGTCCCTTGCACCACCAGCTTAGCTGCCACCTCTAGCTTCCTCCATGAGAGGTGCTTAGAGGGGCAATTTGGTAATTTCACCAAATTGTCCAATTTTGCTAATTTTAAAAAATTCAAACACATTAAATAAATAAATAAATAGAAAAATACTAGTTAATTTATTGGAGCCCTACCCGACCTCTGATTCATTTCACCAAGTTAACCCATAACCCCTTAACTTGTTAGGTGCACTCTTAGCCTAGTTCGTCCGAACGTTTGTTCTGACCCAATTTTCTTCACTTGAACACCACCATCCTTGTATTTTGAACCTCACACCCACATTGAACACCTACACACTCACTCTGGTGTCTCCCCTTTTCTGGTCTAGATCTTTGTACTCCTCATGAGTTCCATTTTACTTCCGATCTCAATTCGAACATTCTGGTTGTCACATTTGTAGTCAATTTCAATTGAGAAATTTTTTAGAAATAAGGCTTTCTTCATTCGGTGTCTCTTATTGTGAGAAGGAAGAGAAAAGTAGGGTTGTTGAATGATCCAATCAATCCAAGCTCGATTTGGTTTTAGCTCATTCAGGCTTCGTCAAATGACAAAATAAATCCAATTTGACTAGAATTTTGAGCCCATTATGTAAAAAAGTTGGATTCAAGTCATGTGTGGTTCAAATAGATATGGGAAAATTTTTGGCGAGGATTGCATATCATTGCATTATGGAGATACTACATGTATATACAGATTGCATTTACGTCGCTATGTATTTTACCTTACAGAAAGCTACAAAGCTATAGATGGTGTCTTAAACATTACAACAGTTTCCTATAGTAAAGGATTTTATTGTTGTGCAAAAATATGATTTTATAGCTGTAACAAATTCTATATTTTAACAGAATGAAATTATCGAAACTTCATATTACTCCCCCTTAAAGTGGAGAGTCAAGGTGGCAAATTCCCGACTTCCTGGGCAAAATGAAGGAATTTAGTTTTCCCAAGTGGTTCGATAAAGAGGTCAGCCAGCTGCTATGCAGTTGCAAGGTAACGGTACAACGGATGCCTGATTGGATTTTGTCTTGGACAAAATAATAATTGAGCTCAATGTGCTTGGTTAGTTTATCAAAAAGTAGGTTGGCGACAATGTGAAAAGTTATTTGATTTAAAACATGATAGTGGTAGGAGGAAGTGAGACGCCCAAATCATTTAATAGAAAAAGAAAGCATGTACCATGTAAATTCACAATTGGCAGTGGCCAGAGAACAATGTACTGATTTAGGCAAAGAATGAGAACTTGTGTGTTGTTTTTGCACTTTCCTTGAAATAGGAGAAGTATCCAAGAAATCGTGATACCTTGTAATAGATCACCAAGTAAGTGGACAATAGCCCAATTAGATTTAGAAAAAAGCTTTCAATTGAAGAGTACATGTAGAGCATATAGGAAGTCCTAGGCTTAGAGAACTCTTAATATAGCAAAGAATACACATGGCAACATCTAGATGAGGTTTGCGTGATTGTTGCATGAATTGATTGAGAATATGGATAGAATTGAAAATATTCAATAGTGTGATGGTAAGATAATAAGACGACCATGAGACAACAATATAGAGTGGGATCCTGAAGATGTTCTCCATTATCAAGACAATTTTAGATTGTGCTCCTTGAGAAAAGGAGCTACGAAACACCCAACAGGCATATATCATCTAGATCGTCAAGTGTGTACTTCCATTGAGAAATGCAAATACCTTGTGAAAAGTGTGCAACCTCGATACCCAAAAAAAAACCATAAAGAGGGCTAGGGTTTTTGATATGGAATACACCCACCAACTTGGTCTCTACTTAACCTCCAATGCACAACATCCAATATATTAGCTTGATACCCCCTCTTCTAATGTTTGTGATGTTNCTCAATGTGCTTGGTTAGTTTATCAAAAAGTAGGTTGGCGACAATGTGAAAAGTTATTTGATTTAAAACATGATAGTGGTAGGAGGAAGTGAGACGCCCAAATCATTTAATAGAAAAAGAAAGCATGTACCATGTAAATTCACAATTGGCAGTGGCCAGAGAACAATGTACTGATTTAGGCAAAGAATGAGAACTTGTGTGTTGTTTTTGCACTTTCCTTGAAATAGGAGAAGTATCCAAGAAATCGTGATACCTTGTAATAGATCACCAAGTAAGTGGACAATAGCCCAATTAGATTTAGAAAAAAGCTTTCAATTGAAGAGTACATGTAGAGCATATAGGAAGTCCTAGGCTTAGAGAACTCTTAATATAGCAAAGAATACACATGGCAACATCTAGATGAGGTTTGCGTGATTGTTGCATGAATTGATTGAGAATATGGATAGAATTGAAAATATTCAATAGTGTGATGGTAAGATAATAAGACGACCATGAGACAACAATATAGAGTGGGATCCTGAAGATGTTCTCCATTATCAAGACAATTTTAGATTGTGCTCCTTGAGAAAAGGAGCTACGAAACACCCAACAGGCATATATCATCTAGATCGTCAAGTGTGTACTTCCATTGAGAAATGCAAATACCTTGTGAAAAGTGTGCAACCTCGATACCCAAAAAAAAACCATAAAGAGGGCTAGGGTTTTTGATATGGAATACACCCACCAACTTGGTCTCTACTTAACCTCCAATGCACAACATCCAATATATTAGCTTGATACCCCCTCTTCTAATGTTTGTGATGTTTCTACCCCTTCACAATCCACTCGAAAATGTCAAAAGGCCCATGCCAACCCTTTTCTTTGCTTCACGACTACAATTACTTTATTGCCATGACCAATTTTCCATCTAGGTTGTCTTCTTCATTGTCGAGACCCAAGGTGAAGGCACGCGATTCCATTAGTTTAATGTTATTTCTTATCATCATTTGCCATCTCATCGTAGTGCATTTATTACAAAAATTTATGCTACTTTTTTAAACAACTTCTTTTATGTAGGACCTTAATTGGCAAAGTGTAACGGATGTTGAAATAGAGGCCCTTGAAAAAAATAACACTTGGAGGTTAACTTCACTACCCCTGAACATCAAGACAATTGATAAAGCATTATGCAGT